CTTATGGGCCAAGTATATAGGTAGTGATGTACAGGTGATTGTGGATAACACGATGAGACAAAGTGGGTTGTGAGGAGATCGTAAGCGATGATTTACTAGTAAAATAATGTCTTTCAATAGTATGAGTCGTTTTGAGATAAACTATAAAGATCATGATGCAAAATTGCGGGGATATAAGTTCAAAGCAAACCTATATCATAGCAAATGTAAGTTTAGGTTGTTAGAGCTATAACATATAGGGCTGTATATGGGTTAGGTTGGTGCAGGTAAGGCTTTTTCTTAACTCGTCTCAAAAAGTGCGGATTGCACATATTAAGTTCCAACGATATTAGAAAAATTTCACAACCCAATGATGTTTAGGTTGCGTTAGGGCGGGCGGGGTGGGTTGAGTTCGTGTTCAATATTTAAAGAATCAAAGTTCAATCCAACATTCAAAGTTCATCATCAAATAGAAATAATAATTCCAACATTCCAAGTTCATCATCAAATAATATTGATCACTCCATCATCAAACAGATAGCAATTGAAAGTTCAATCAAACATCAAACATGAAGTAAAGTAGTCCATCTAACATGAAGCAAGGGTTAGAACTTAGAGGATAGGGCCCGGGCTTGTTTGTGGGGGTTGGGTTAGGGTTTGTGTGCTATTATAGGCTCAACCCACAAACTGCCCAAACACCTTGGGCCAGACATTTAGTGAGCTGAAAAATAAAAAATAATACTATAAATTACTTTTTTCGGGTTGGATTAGGGTGGGGTGGGTTGAGTTTACAGATTGTTCAGATTTATGAACAACCCTAATAACGTAGGTGAAAATATGGCAACAAGAAGGTGAAGGCTTGGCGGGGGAGGGGAGAGCCATAAGCATCAACAAGGGTGGTCAAGAAGCCCTCTCGTCTCATCCCATTGGCATCGCCATGTGCCATAACCCAAACTTATTTAGGTCAAAATCTCAACCATCTTTGTTCAACGATCTTAGTCAAGAAACGGGTTGAATGTGATTTTATTTTTTTAACAAATTATTAAACTTATATTTAAGAGTGCACGAGTTATAATTTTTACTCCTTACTCTTGATTAATATCTTTTTAACTAATATAGTTATTTAACTAAAAAGATATTAATCAAGAATAAATGGTAAAAATCTAAACTCATGCACTCTAAGATGATATTTGTTTCCTTTCTCAAATTTTTTTTTTTTCAAAAGGAAAATATGGATAGAATCATTTGAGCACAAAGCAAAAAATTAGGGCTTTATTTTTTGTTTGTATTTTTAAGTTAGAAATTATTTTGTTTACTTCTTTAATAAATTATTATCTTAAATAATACTTAGTATAGACCAAAAAAAATCTTCATATTTTAAGTATTCAATTTCAACCGTTCAAATAATTTTACTTTCATATGGTTTTTAAAATACAAGAGATATTTTGTTTTTTTATAATTAAAATAATAAATGTAATAATTCCACATAAAATGTGATTTTTTTTATTAAAAAAAAAACCCTTCAGAAAACTTAAATATCTCAACGTAATTTTTTCATAAAATAAAAAGTTTTACGCATGTGTGAACATGAGATGATTATTTCCATAATCACAAAGAGAATTTTTTACGGGGACCTGAATATTTTTTCTATTTCTAGGGGAAAGTCGACTCATACATTTTCTGTAATTATAGAATATTTACTAAATGAGTTCAAGCTGAGTTTCTTTTATTTATTTATTTTTTCCTTTATTGGCCTTAAGTTCAAGTTGAGTAAATGAGTGAGTTTATTAACTTATTTATCACCTATGAGATGTTGGCGTAGGCAGATATTTTAAATTTTCGAGCTACAATTGGTACAAAAATAACCCTTATTATTTATGGTGCACCAGCCAAAGGGGGAAAAAAATAATAATAATTGGTGAAGTTTAATAATTTCATTTATGACAGTCACTAAAAGTATTAACTATACAACCACAATTACGCAGGCAGGAAACTTGTGACTGCATTTAAACATTTGTGATCTGGGTAGGCTTGGCCTTTCTTATGTTACCAACTGATCTAAGTAATGGAAAGTTTTTATTGTGGGGATTGATTACATATTGATTGATGATTTAGGACTTAATTTATTTGTATATTATAATGTGTTCGGTGGAATCCTTGGTGACTAAAGTTACCTAACTCTTGTTTATCAAAAAAGTTAGCTAATTCTTTACGCAAAATTTTAGATATATATATATATATTATTATTATTAACTGTGAGACCTCGTGAGTGTTATTTTATTTATTTATTTATTTATTGATAAAAAGAAATGGTGATTAGAACTATAGACCTCCAATGAATTTAGCTTACCATATGTTAAGTACATGGTAAATCAATAGTTACCATCTCCAATCATAGATTTTGTAGAGTAATTATACTAAAATAATATTTGGTATCTTGAGATTAAAAAAGGGAGTTTTATGGTAAGAATAATTGTCTTTTAATCATCAATATGAACTATTATTTTTATATTTTAATGGCATGATATATGAGTGTGCAAGAAAATATTTAGAGTGTGTGATAATATAGAATTATTATAATCTAAAATCAAAATATTAAAAACTTAAATTAACAGTTAAAATAACAATATCTACTAGTAATTTTTTTTTAAAAAAAAAAAACACTTTATCATAGAAATTACCTTTATGGAAACAGGGGTTGTTTGCTGGGAGATTTATACCTTGATTCGAATTATGATTCATGATTCGCTATAATATTTTTTTTATAAAAAAATACACGTAAATAAAAAATAATTTTAAACCATTAACCAAACGTCTCATAAACTAAACCATCAAGAAGAGGCTGTCTATAGTACACTAATATCCAAGTGAGCCACATAGATATGAGCTTTTATTATGCCTCGTGCCGTTTGCAAGGAATCCAGTAATACTTGTGGTGATGGCGTCAGTTGGTACTTGTACATCTCAAATTATCACCAAAATTGGCAAATGGTTTGAACTTTTCTCCACATCATTTATATCCATTTTCCCAACTGTATAAGAAGCTTTATTTGTCTTGATAAAGATTTATCTTCATCAGTCACAAAAATATGGATCCCAGTCTGATTACACGAGGCTCATTTTTTTATGTCTATGAGAATAAGTGGACGTTTAATTTATAAATTTAGAATTATTTTTTATTTACATGTATTTTTTGTGCGAAAAAATACTGTAGCGAACCACAAACTATGATTCGAATCATGGCGCGAATCCACCAACTAATCGCACCATTCTATCATAACAAAAAGAGTTTTCTAAAACAAAATTGTTTCAAGCACTTAGAGATTATGTACAAATTTTTAGACTTTGCATTTCCATTTAGTCTTCACATAAACCTATCGATGGGCCTACTCTAAACCCTCAAGAAATCTGATAATGGCATTTCAACTCCCTACTCACTAGCCCCACCATTTTGTCCAAAATCTAGGCTAAAAAGCACAAAGAGTTTAGCTATATTTCATTCACAAAGTAATGGCCCTAAATCTAATGGGTCAATATATATCATTTATATTGTTTTAAGAGAGATCAATAGACGTGGCTTTGTTTAAGGGTGATGAAAGAAGACGAGTAACAAAAGGGGAGAAAAAACTACATATTAATTGAGTACTAAATTCTATGATAAGCACAAAGCAACCATTTTTTTATTGGGAAATATAATTCGTATTTTGTATTTGATTTTAGTTTTTTAGTGATCTAATAAGAATTTTGTAAAGTTTTTTCTTTGTTTTGTTTTGTTTTTTTTTTTTTTTTCTGCTTTGGTCACTCGTGCAATTAGAAGAATCCCTGGCCTTGTGGTGCAACTTCAGCTATTAGTGACTTAAAAAACATATCCTTTGCCCCGTGTTACATGTTGCAGTAATAATAATGATTAAATCAAAGGAATACTTTATAACTGATCCTAAATCCTCTCTTGCAGTAATAATTATTAAATTCTTGACATTTTCATTCGTTTTAAAGTGGTCCTGAATCATCTCACCTCTTGCTTTTTAATTATTTTTTAAATTTATAATGCATGTTTTTATGTTGAATTTGATAAAAATCACATCAAAATAGAAAAAAAAATATAAAAATAATAGAAACAAAAACCTTATTGACAAATATTCTTTTATAAGGTAATAAAAATATCATTTTTTTCCTTAAAAACCACAAAATTTACATTTATTCTTTTATTTTTAAGAGAATTTTTAATCATTAAATCACATTTATTAGATTAAATAAAAATCTCACAATTCAAAAATGTGCTGAGACTTTTTTCTCCGCACCATATCCAAAAATTCTCACTATTTTTAATTCTCACCAAAAGACAATAAAAGGAAAAATCCAAAATGCTCCCAAAAAAATAAATTCTAAACAAAAATAAAAGGCATTAAATGGAACTACCATGATTAATGGTAAGCTTCCCATCAAATGCACAGTATGACATCCCGTACCTTCCCTCTCTCTCCCTTTTGAACAGGTTTTGCTTATTCTAGTAATAATTTTACGCACCGTTTACTTCGCTGATTTGAGTTTATAATTTGAATTGAGATATAATTTTGTGTGAGAGCTTTTTACTGTAACAAAAAAGTTAAATGTGACTATTTCTGAGAGCTTTTTACTGTAATAAAACTCAAATTCTAAACTCAAATCGATAAAATGAATGAGATAATCGATTCAAATTTAAAATTTAAATTTTATTACAATAAAAATTTTTTAAAAATAATTATATTTAAATTTTTTATTATAATAAAAAATTATCACATAAAATTACATTTTAACTTAAATTAAAAACTTAAATAAACAAATCAAACGAACCTTCAACATTTTGCACGTAAAAAAAAATTAAAAGATTAAAATTAAAAAAACAACCAAATGCAAATATTAGTCACACCTCATGATCTTCCAATGATATTCCTTGTCTGAACCCCAATAAACAAAAGATAAAGAACCAAATCCTACTCTTTTTTCTCTCCTCCTTTCTCTCTCCTCCTCGCTCTTTCTCTCTCTATAATGTGACATGAAGTTTCAGAGAGGCTACAGCTTGGACAAAGTCAATGCACCGACTAATGATCAGCTAGCTTTTCTTTCCATGGATCTGAAACAGTGAACTTAACTTGTTACTGTTTTTCATGCACTTTCTTTGTCATAGTTTCTTACACTTGATCATTTGGAGCAAGAACCAAGTTTCTCATTGCTGAAAAGAAGCTATAAAATTCAGGTAAATTATGTGTTAAAATAATGCATGTGATTAGTGCATTTTTAGTTTTTTTTTTTTTTAATTATGCATGAATTGAGCTTAATGAGAAGATTACGTACGTTTTGCTTTTCCATATACTTGGATCCATAAATCCCAAGTCTAAAAGCAGAATCTCCTTTTTATAGAAAAAGATTGCAGGATTTTTTTTGCTTCTAGTTTGAAACTTTCAATGGAGAATCTTCTTTCCATTTTCCAGTAACATTATATTTTTATATTTGTTTCCTCTTGACGGCAACTGATTTATTATTTGTTTTTTGCTATGTGTCATTTTTCATTTGAAACAGAATCAAAACAAGTATTATATATGTCTGTTATGGACAAGTTCCGAAATGATTGACTAGGATATCCAAACGCATGTAAGTTTTTTTTTTCTTTTTCTTTTTTATGTTATTATTATTTATATGAGAAGGGTCTTTTATTGGGATTGATTGGTTTTTTTTTTCCCCTCTTTTATAGTTTTTGTTTTTCCAGTAATCGCAGATTCTGACTTTGTCAATGTAATTTTTGTGGCATTAGAATATGCCTCAAGACGGTCTGAGATCAGTCATATACAGGTCGTTTGTCACATGTGACGATCCTAAAGGAGTTGTTACTTGTAAGACAGTCAGAAAATACAAAACAGATTGCCAAAGGAAAAAGATGGAGGATAAGAGTGAAATCAGCCGGCGAAAAGCAAAGAGCTTAAGTGCGTCTTCGGAGTATTACAACCCGAAAATGGAGGAGATAATGATGGCCTCAAAAGGGTTGGCGAGCAAAGAAGAGGAAACTCACAGCCCATCTTCATTTCAGCTAATGGAGGTCTCTAGAGGAGCTCAAAAGCTGAACCACATGATAGAGTCTTGGTCCAAGGGTGTGAAGTTTGATGGGCAATCCAAGGACATTGCAAGGGATTTGTTGAAAGGATCTCTTGATCTGCAAGATTCTTTGATCATGCTTGGTAAACTACAAGAGGCTTCACGGTACATGTCTCATCTGAAGAGGCAACAGATCATGGAGAGCTCAGAAAGAGGTAGATATGATGATCATGATCATCATGATTATCATAATTATCAGTTAAGGGACAAATACCCAATGACAGGATTTCAAAATCCTAGGACTTCCTTTGGTGGGGCCTCTTCTAGGAGTTCAACAGAGGAGCTTAAGAAGGTTATAAGAGAGAGCCTTGTGAGTCAGAATTTTATGTCCAAGTCTAGAAAACCTGAAAGGGCCTGTTTTGCACATAGAAGTTTGGACTCATCCTCAACTTCAGATCAATCTCCCTCCACAACCAGTTCAAGCCAGTTATCCTTGGCTCGTCCCGCCACCGAATCACCTACTGATTCTTCATCAGCAGCAGATTCTCAGACTGCGAAAGGTCCAAATCTGATTGCCAAGCTGATGGGGCTAGAAGAATACCCTTTAAGGCCTTTTGAAGCCACTCCACAGAGAGGGTTTGAGGGGCATAATATGATTCCAAGCGAGCGGAGGCCTGTCTTCGATATTGACATGCCAAAGGCAAGGAAGCCTCAGTATGCGGTTCAGAAGGCAGGTCAGGAGAGAAAGACCCTGAAGGAAATTCTTGACACTATGCAGTTTAAAGGGCTTCTGAGAAGCAATGCTGGAAAAGGGGTTCAACCCTTTTCGGATCAATCCAATGCTTCCCATTTTAAGCAGAGATTGGTTGGTGATGGTCCACCTATAGTACTCATAAAGCCTCTTCGCGTGCCACCAATCGAAACAAAAGAGATACAAACAATTAGACCATTGCTTGAAGAAGAGGACCCTTTGTACAGAAGAAAGATGCTGAGGAAACTGAGAAGAAAAGAAGAGCTTCATCCCAAGGAAATCGGTTACAAAGAAGTGAATTTGAAGTCCGATAAAATTCGCAGGAGGTCAGAAGCGGAAGGAGGTAAGGAGCAAAGAGTGATAGTTGAAGTACCAGAGGAGAAAGAGGTAGTTGTTAAAGAGAATTCTTCAGTTAAGTTGAAAGTCTCTCGTCCTGTAAACCACAAACAACAGAAAAATAAGGCCATTGAAAAGAGAGCTGACGAGATTCAAAAGGTCACCACTATTAACAGGAAGCCATTGGAGAAGGAGGTAGTAAGAACTAAAAGTGTTCCGAAGTCTGAAGATCAAGCCAAGAAGCTCTCAATTAAGGCAGGAAAGACGGATTCTAAATCAAACGTCGGGAAGATTCAAAATTCTAGACAACTGAGTAGTAACAAGTCAAGTGCCATCAAACATGGAGAAATTGCAGCTTGTAATTCTTCTTTCCGAACAAAGAACCGAACAAAGAGAGAAAAGACTGGGAAAAAGCCTACAGCAGCTAAATCAGTTGTGAGTTTTCTTGAATCTATACAATAGCTGTATTTATTAATCAAGAAAGATGTATAGCTGAAGGAACCAATAGTTGAAAAGTAGATTTTGTGAACTAGGAAATGAAAAAATGACTTGTTCACAATTCGATGCAAATCTTCTTTTTTTATGCAGACTAAAACTTGTGGACTTGAAGAGGACGAGAAGAAGATTAAAGTTATCAATGGAAGCGAATACCGTGAAGTATCGATCGAGATTGATCCCGAAAATAATAAAGTTAAGGATCAACTCCCTAAAGAAGAGGAAGCAGATATCTATGATTCAAAGATTGAAGGTAAGCCCCTTATTATATGTTGTTATATAAGTAACCAAAAACTAATATTTTGATGAATTTTCATGTTCCATAGACTGTACATCTGATGGTTTATTCATAGACATGAAGATTTTCATTGCAAAGAAAACTGATACTTTCCCAATTAGTTATAACAATTGCTTCTGGGCCATAAGTAGCGAAGGACAAACATGAAACAGAATTATATATATCATGAAGCTTATATTCACTTGTGAGTTTTTTGGAAAATGTAAGCGTGGACATTTACAAGAAAACCCGTTTTTCCTTCCTGTAGAACGTTGCAGTCATAGCCACAGTTCTACTTGTGATGCCACACCATCAACACCATGTGCCGACCATGAAATACACGGTAGAATTACAGAACAAGCTCCCAAAGACATCGGTCTTTGTACGAGTACAGATGGAAAAGCCATCAAAAGCGAAACCGGTCTGAGAGCTCTCCTCTTGAGCAGTCTCTCTTTTCAAAACCATGTAGAGGAGCTTTTTGATCTCAACATGAACGGCTCTACCATCTTACAAACATCTTACATCGAAAACTTCGGGGAATCCAGTACCAGACTTTTGTTGGGTTGCGCAAAGGAACTCATTGACCGGAAGAAAAGCCTTCATGATTCACAAACACTCCGTCCTCTTATACCGACACGCGCAGGCAAACCGAGGCGCTGCAGCGTCTCTCTAGAGACATTGGTTGAGGAAGTCTGCAGAGGGATTGAGGCTCTAAAAAAATACAGCAAGATTGATGGTGAAAGTCTTGCAGTGGATGTCTTGTATGCAATGTTGGAGACAGATTTAACCTGCAATGGATTTGTAAATGGGATTTGGGATTCCGGTTGGAGAGCCGGATTTTTTTCATGGGATGAAGCTGAACAAGTTGTGAATGACATAGAGAAACTGGTCTTGAGTGGACTCATTGAGGAGGTCTTCACTTGATGTTTGGTGCTTAAGTGTTGTAACAAATAATTTTGTTTGGCAAACAAGGTTAGTGAGAATCTCACTGTTTCTTTTTTTTTCTTTTTTGGTTTGACATGTTGTAACAAGTTGTATTGGAATATGATAGTGCTTATATGATAAATATAGATATACAACTTATTGCGACATGCCAAACAAAGGCTTTATGCATATGACTAGATGAGATTTGAGGGATGCTAAGATTATAGATGTGAAGCGCTAGACATCTTGGGTTAATTCCTGAAATTATTTTATTTTATTTTTTAAGGAAAACACATATTATAACATCTGCTTGTAAATAAGACATAAAGATTACAAGTGGGATCAAACCCATAACAACATCCAAACTCGGGCAGATATAGCTCTTATGGGACCACATCCCACACAAACGACAAGGAAATGACACGTACCAAACGACAAATGTTAGAAAACTGCAATGAAGTACAAATGGAATGACAATAAACTAATCTAAACGACCTTTACTCCAAATGGCAGAATCTTTCTACTAACGATAAAATCTACTGTAAAACGATAACAAATTGTGAAAAGCTTTAGGCCGATTCGAGTTTTGCTACAGTAAAAAGTTCTTATAAACAGTCACATCTAACTTTTTTGTTATAGTAAAAAGTTCTCACATAAAATAACAAATTGTGAAAAGCTTTAGGCCAATTCGAGTTTTGCTACAGTAAAAAGTTCTTATAAACAGTCACATCTAATTTTTTTGTTATAGTAAAAAGTTCTCACATAAAATCACATCTTAACTTGAATTAAAAACTTGAATCAACGAACTAAACGGGTTCTTAATACCGGAGAAAACGATGTACGAAAGACCAACTTATAAACGACTATAATTTAGCAAATCAAGAATCAACAAAAATCCTGATTAGCAAAAAATCAACAAAATCTTAAAAAAGACAACAATCGTAGGAGAATCACAATAACATATTACCATAGGGCAACAAACAACTTAGGGATACCAACTTTTTTTTTTTTTTTAACCAACTTACGTTTTCACTTACTGTGAGTTGGTTCGTAACACATACCAAAAAAAAAAAAAAAAAATTACAAAAAAACTTCCTAAATTTATAATACACGCATATTATTAATTGCTTACACTTAATTTCATTATCAGCCTTAACGATCTGCAACATTTTTTTTTGTTTTATTGTCGCTTTAATGTCATTGTCGTTTTTTATTGAGAGACGTTTTTCATTTTGTTGTCATGTGTAGGAGATATCGGCATTTATGTTACTGAGTTGTTTGGTAGAAATTTTTCAATTTTTGAAATTCTCATTTACTGTAAAAAGAAAAAAGAAAAAGAAAAAGAAAAAGAGACACCAAACAAGAAGAATGAGTATGATTAAGCAGTGGTTATGTTACTTGATGGATCAATCGAATTGAAAAGATGCACATGAAAGCCACAAAGACATGCCTGTTTAAGAGTATTTAAGTTTCAAATGAGTGAAAATTAAACTCAAATTTTAGCCACAAATTCAAATTAAAACTCAAATTTTACAAACAAACATAAACTTAAATAAAGTTATAACTTAAGTTTAAATCTTTTTAAAATTTTACTTTAAAAGAACAAGTCCTTAGTACTATAGTAATTGGACTCGGAGGACTGGATTTTCTTCGGAAGAAGCTGAACAAGTGGCTTCCATTAGTTAAAATCTCACTTCACCTTGTCATCTTTTTTATTTCTTTTTAAGACTTTACATTTCACCGATTCGAGTTTAATTTTAAATTTTTACTGTTAAAAACTCTCAAAAAATATCACATTTAATTTTTTCTATTACAGTTAAAAACTCTAAAAAAATATCTCATCTCAACTCAAATTGATAACACAAATCCACAAAGTGCACGAGATCTTTTTTTTTTTTTTTTTTTTTTTAACGCATGTCACGAAAATTACTTGTAATGTTTCTTCCCCTTTACAAAATGCACGAGATCTTATTTTATTATTTTTTTTTAACGCATGTCACGAAAATTACTTGTAATGTTTCTTCCCCTTTTTCCAGTTTTCATTACCATTATCATTGTAAGTAACCCCTTCAAATCCGCAAGTAGGGGTCCAGTGAATTATTTCTACCAAAAATAAAAAAGGAATGGTACATCAATAAAATCTATCGTCAAACAAGTATAATACTTTACTTATCAATCATTAAAATACAAAATTTCCTGTGGTGATGCTTTGACAACAGTAACTCTTGGATTAGTGAAATGACTTTCCTATGGAAATCAATGGTGGCAGTAAAACTTTGGGTGTCCAAAGTTGAGAGGGAGAAAAAGAAAAGAATAAAGAAAAGAAAAGAAAAGCCTATTGGAAAATTGATTCAGGACTAGGGATTAGAAAATCGACCAGACCCAGAACTCTTCCTCCGCCGTCGTCGCTTCTGCCGAATTCGCCAGAAGCTCAAGAATAGCAGAAGACCTATATTGACAAGATAATTCAAATTAACAGTGGACCTAAAACTCTAAGCTAATTAAAAAGTTATCAAAATCTAAAACATATGTTGCTTGTGAAGTAGAAAAATAGAAAGTCAATGATTGCTAACCAGTAACAGCAATTAGTGAAGGAACAATCCAATGACTAGCAGCTAGCACAGGCATCTCAAGCTGCAAGCAATACAAATAAGTCGGCATTATCGTAAAGAAAACTGCAATGACAAATGAAAACAAAGAACAAATCTCCTATCTGACCAAATATTTCTTTTGCTTACCTCATCTCCATAGAGCAGACCCAAGTACTTGTTTCCCAAAGAATCACTTTTACTCTTTACGTTCAACTTTGGACGCCTCGAATCAAACATGCGGTTCGAAGAATTTAGACCTCGCCCCAAATCTATAACAGGATAACCTGGTAATCTCCTGTTTCTTCCCCTAACCTGTAAATTGTAGCCCTTGGTCCCCCATATTTCAAATCTGGAATCACTTCCGCAGATCAATTCCTTACCCATGACTGCGGAGTATGCAGAGAAATTCACATCGGTTCTACGAGATGGTAATTGGTTGTCATCCACATAAAGGGGCGAATCTTGTTTAGCAGAGTTGGCAAAAAGCACAGGATCTTTGATGTTCCCACCAGTGAAATCTAATATTTTTCTCAGGAGCCAGTAACAATTAGTTACCATATGACTGCTGTCCAAACAGTTGGAATCCCCATAGACTGCAATACGACCTTCACCCGCTTCAATAAGACCAAGGATGGGAGAGTCTGCCTGCATTCATCATGAGCACACTGATGAGAATTTGGTCCGCTAAAAAACATTTTAGAAATAGTACACAGAATAAGCTTTACTCGGGTAATCACGAATTAGACTTCTTTTAAAGCAAGATGCAAGAATGTTAGATTTATGTTGATATACAAAGAGAACTAGAAGTTGGCCGTCTTCCTTTCCTCATAATGGCAGATATATATCAGCATGGTCATCCTTACCTGAAGAATCTACTAATTGTTAGTTTGTAAATGTTTAATTGTTGTTTGAAGGATCCAACTTATTTAGATTATTTAAATTCCTATTAGTACTGTTCCAATAAGTCAATACCGTTCATATTACCTTAACAATGTGAAATTTGAACATCCTAAATCACTTGTCCATACCGGCCATATTCAGGGTCAACTTTGTTAAAGTTTGCATAAGTGGTACATCTACTCACCATGGACATGTCGGATGCCCGCAGTACATTTTGAGTGGCCCCGCTTTCTGAGCTATCAAAGAAGGGAAAGCTGTGCACATAACCCCCTCCAGGAAATCTCACAATGTCTGTTCCAGATGCATATCTACTCTGTTCACCATTAATTGTAAAATCTCCATTCAGAATTTTATCTCCAAATGCAATCCCAAATGGAGCCAAAAGGTCATTCAGTGCTGGAACATTAGAACCTCCAGTAACAGGAGTCCACCAGCTGCGGGTGTTATCATCAAAGAATCTCATCTTCACCATCGTGTCGACATTATACCACTCGCTAAACACAACCAACCCCAATCCAGTATTAATAACATCATCTCTTAGCTTGTCAATCTCCTCTTGGAAATACTCATCCTCAAGATCAACCAAAAGAAGTGTCCCATACTGGTGAGCATCAAAGCACGTAAGGGGGGAACCAAGTGTTTCTACATAGTAATCAGCATCCCGTAACATGTTGAACATGATGTGAAAATTCGTATGCAGGTGATCCCCATGCCAATCGAGAATGTCATTACGGACATCCAATGAGTCTCTTGGAATATAACCAGGAGGATATTTAATGTTGTGAAACTGGTCCCACAAGATTCTTTTTGATCTTGGTGGAGTAGGAACTACTTTTAACTTCAATTGAAGAACACAAGTACTAATACGCCGGTCCTTCTCTCCTTGAGCCGGAGGGCTATACACCCTAAATGTCACATTACCCTCAATGTCTCCAGAAAATTGTGCCCCTTCCTCCTTAATTTGCATGTGAAGTGCCAAATAACCAGTCCAAGGCCAGATAACTTCTGAATAAGTAAAGTGGATGCTCAGAAGATTACCTTCTTCATCAGAAGGATGCCATGTTGGTTGACTCTCAACATATCCAACCACACCCATCCCATTAAGAATGGTCGTGTTAAAAATAACAGGCATGGCACCTGCATAAAGCGGTTGACGACAAAAGGGCCAGGAATAAGGGCAGTCTGTATAATCGAGAACACTGGGAAAGATGCTTGCACGGGGTTGATAGCTCTTAAGAATTTCATAGGACGCTAACCTGAAAGGGTAGTCAAAAATTGAGAAGCTGCTCAGTGTGTGTGTGTGTGTGATAATTTCAGATGATAGTAATAAGAGTTACAAGAATAGCCGTCATTACTACAAATTTACAAAATCAACCAGAAAAACAAAGTGTGTGTGTGTGTGTGTGTGTGTGTGTGTGTGTGTGTGTGTGTGTGTGATAATTTCAGATGATAGTAATAAGAGTTACAAGAATAGCCGTCATTACTACAAATTTACAAAATCAACCAGAAAAACAAAATTAACACGCAAATGAAGAGTCCTACAATCAAGAATACTCACAGATCAACTCTGCCTGCACCCTGCTCATACATATTTGGACCAGAGAGCTTTGCAGCTCCCTCAACAAGTGCTTGTTTCATGCTTGCTGGATTTAAGATGTGCTTCCGATTATTTTCAGGGATGACACTAACAAGCAGACAAACCATACCAGCCACAACAGGACTTGCCACGCTAGTACCGGATAAGCTTTTACAACCTGTGCTGATTTTAGATCCCATAATGTCCCGGCCGTATGCAACCACATCTGGCTTCACCCGGCCATAACTGTACATATTTAACACTTTGGTTTACAGTAGCATGATGAAAGTAGTATGTTCAGATGAAAGAGATGTATTTGACATAATAAACTCGCATGATTTGCCTGTATCCGAGAAAAAGAAGAGTAGCAAATGTGGTAAATGGCTTAGCCAAGGAGAAAAAAATATTACGCAACAAGAAGAAATTTGATAATGAATTACCCGTGAGGGAGTTCCCAAGTACTCATGCCTCTTGAGGAAAAAGAAGCAATGTGATCACTATAGTCAATGCCACCAACGCCAATCACATCACTCTGATCAGCTGGATTGTTTAGAGTTCCATAAAGCGGTCCATCATTTCCAATTGCAGAAACCATTATTATATTGTTTGCTGTTATTTCCCATACCTAGTGAAGAAATAAGCCGCAAAGAGTGAAGCAAAGGTATTTTCCAAGCTTCTAGTGTATAATAGTTACAAAAGACACACAAACAACAAAGAGAAAAGGGGGAAGACTCAGATTTTATTATATGTTTTTTTTTTTTTTTTGGTTAAATAAAATTTAGAAAATTTGTTGAATTTATATATGTTTGTAAGGATAAATAAAGAACAATGACAGACAAAGGTAGCAATACCTTCTCCACAAATGGGAGATCCAAGTAATCAGGTCCACCTATGCTCAAATTTAACACATCGATATTGGTTGCAATGGCATAGTTGAACGCATCAAGGAACCACGATGTGTATGATACCTGCAATAGGCTGAATACAGACTCTCATAATCTTATAAACTCTATTAACCAAGGCAAATACTAAAATCTCGTTATAGAACATAAGGACTCAAAGTAAATCATGTAGGGAGTGGGCAGAAAACAAACTTCAAGCAATTCACACTGAAGCCTTTTGCTCCAAGCTTTAAAGTAATTATGAGTGAAGAAATACTAGGAAAAAGGCCCAGATGTTTGCATCTCACATGTAAATAACTATTATAATGTGGAAAAGCTATGTGCTCAAATGTACATTGCGAATAGATCATTCAAGAATCTGTATGAAAGTGTCTATCAAATGTCCAAAGATGCATTACCTGCGCATCTGTAAACACACGGAAAGCATAGATCTCTGTGTCGGGAGCAAAACCGAGACACTCTGCGTCTACCCCGGCGACAACACCAGCAACAAATGTCCCGTGTCCAAGATTGTCATTCAAGGTATCTTCATTGGTCCAGTTTGTACGCTCCTGAAATTACTCAAACTCTAAAATTAAAATATCCACTCGAAGTAACAAAAACCAATATTTATTGACGAGATTTATGATATTGTACAGCGCCTTGTGATAAAGAATACCTTGATGTTTCGAAAATGCGGATGCTTATCTCGAATGCCAGTGTCGAAGACGGCCATTTTGACTTTTGACCCAGTGAACCCCTTTGCCCAGAGAGCATCAGCTCCAAATAATGAAGTAACTTGAGATCTCTACACGAATTGGTAGAGAAAGTGTGTCTGAGTTAAGATAGAATATTAACAAAATGTAAATAAGTAATCACTTGATCCTAGTCTCCTTTTGTATTTTTTCACGTTTTAATCCAAAATTGTCACGCATGGAAAGGAGAAAAAAGGGAAAATCGTTATTAAATAAAGAAATAAAAGTGGCTCTTTCTGATATATGGATCGAGACTATTCTACATGAATTCTCTAAACTATTTACTCTTAAAAAAAGCCATCTGAAATTATAGAACCTTTTTCTTCCAAGAGAACCAGATTTAGACAAGTAAGATGTTGATACTTGCATTACACGCTTCTACAACAGCAGAAGCATACCATAGAAAGAGGGCACAAACAATTTATCAAAAGTTTCTTTTCTAAGAAACTAGAAATTTACATTATACCAATATATTGGCCTATCTTTTCACTATTTACAGCACAAAAGTCAACAGCCTTCATGCTCAATCGAACAAACACTCCAGGTTTTTTTTCCTACTCTGTGAAAAGATGTTCAATTCAACCAGAAATCAAGGATTCCACTAAAGAGGCACTTCCCCAGAAACAAAAACATCTGAATGTGAGCATTCCAACTTCGTAAGCCCAACCAAAAAAAAAACCCCTCACAAAAAATCACAAATTATATAGCTTCTTCTTTTTTCCAAAATTAATTTCCTAGCCAATCAAACAACATGCAGAAACATAGCAATTCTTCAATTCTGTTCAATATATGATACGCCATGCATCTCCTACTTCATAACCAAATTATAAAACAAGAAAAAAAAAATCAGAAATTGCTTAAAACTTCTCTTCTTTTGTCGATTTTCTATCCAACCAAACAGAACACCAAAAAACACCCCCCAAAAAAAAAAAACACACAGTTAAACAAAAAAACTCCTTACATCCGCCAATAGCTCCCTCTTCCAGCTCAACGACTCGCCCTCGCCTTCGCTAAACGACATCGCTGTGAAAATCTTCCCAGGCCGCTTCTTCCCATCCACAAAAGCCCCAACCCTAGCTCTCCTCCTCTTCCCTTCCCTAAGCAAACCCCTCCTGTAGCTCGCGTCGACATTGACGTCCTTCACCATCCCTAACCTCTCCAACTCCCGAACCACCCCTTCCCTCGCCGACTCCTCGATCCAAACCAATGCGAAGTCGGTCGGAAACCGAGCCGCCGGATTCCGCCGCTCGATCCAGCCCCATCCCGGCGATCGGAGGCGCGATTGCAGGTACTCCCGGTGTTCTCCGGCGATCTTATACTCCGTGAAGCGGACGATGTAATTGTTCTTGAGATCAACTCCCGGAGAGGAAGAATTTAGGTTTGGAGCAGCGGTCGGAGAAGCGCGGGGCGGCGAATTGCGGAGGAGAGAGAAGGAGAGGAGAGGGATCGCGACAGAGAAGAAGACGACGACGACGGAGGTCCGATGGGAGTGAGCGATCATGGCGGTGGTGGCGACGCCGTGAAGCCTTCAATCATTTGGCGGGAAACTTCCTTCGCATCTGATATAGAGAAAGAGAGAGAGAAATGGGAGTGAGATAAGTGTTAATTGCAGAGTTTCGACTCTCCCCTTTCTTCTTCTTTCTTGGGTCTTTCGGTCTTCCTTTTGTTTTATTTTTTATTTTTTTATTTATTTTTATTTCTATTTAGAAATTGATATTTATTTTAATATTTAAACTCGAGATTTCAGAACATAAAAGAAGGGCATAACGCTTCATGTTCTTGATTTCCTTGTGTTTTTTTTTTTTTTT